CTCTGGACGGTCAAATACGAACAGTGCACAGTATTTTCTTCTTGTCCTCACTGTTATGACCAGCTTAATTGGCAGTACATACAAAGATTCTTGGAATATCAAAAGTAATCCTCTCCTGATATTGAGATATCGGTCCCTGAGAGGCGAATCTTTCATCCTGGCCTGGATGTAATCTGATTTGCATTGTCCGAGATCTGATATTATGATTGTATGTCGAGAGCAGTCTTAAAATTTGCAGTAAACTAGCATACCATATTGGAATACCAATTTATTGGGATTCTGTGTAAGCCAGGATCAAGGGAAAGCTAGACGTATATAGCGTTTGAAGGCATCATTCATGCTACGATAAGTATGTAGCATTTTCATAAGAAGCTTCGTGTCCTCACCTCGAGCTTCGGGAACCTTTCCTCACGTAGAGAACCTAGAATTTCTCACCCACCGGCTGATTTACATCCAGACACGTAGTCATTCAAGCTTGTGACGTTATCTCTCTCAGTTTTATAAAGTCAGTCGGTGAAGGAAAACTACTAGCTCATTGAATGTGGACAACAGTGTTAACTGCTATCTTAGCAGAAGGGTAGGGATTCACACAACTTAGCAAGTCTATTTTCATTATGAGATGTTTCGGTAATCACTGAGTCGATACCGAAAACTTTTACTCTTCACTGAACTTTTAAAGATAGGTCGGTGATTGCTCGAATGAAGGGATGGTGTTCCTAGGGACAGAATGAAAGATGACAAGATTGGTCGTCTGCTTGTGGACAGATGATTTCCATTCCCTTTGGTTCACTTTTGTCATTCTAAAGTTTCATACGCTGTCCTTGATTAGAATTCAGTAGAACGCTCCTTCGATAAATTTAAGAATGAATGTAGAGAAGGTATCATCAGAGAACAATTTGGAAGTTCTGTGTATCGATTTGATTAGATTTCAAGTTCATGGGATTTTGACTTGATTCAATTAGAAGAGACCGAGGCAGTTCTCATTCACAGCCAGAGTTTTCATGATGTTTGTTAATAAACACTACTTGTCGGTCCAGGGATGTGATCGATCGTTTGTGGAATCATAGCATTTTTTAGTGATGCTAAAAGGATCTGCCGTTCCAAAACTCGTGATCAGCTCCATCGCTGCTTGTCTGGCGCACGTCCTTGTATTATACTTGTTTCGTGTTCAAGACGCCCTTGATATTCACTGGAGATCCATGTGCTGTCGGTTTTTCATACTCTTTCCTTGTGACCCAGATTCTTGTCTATGAGGCTTATTCTGAATCTAGATCTACGGAGAAAGCATGACCCAGATCCGGAAAACCGGGAGGTCGATATATTCTTGCAGTTCTTCGCCTTCGCTTATGATCATATGAGTAATTAAGTATGCAGAGATCGGGTAGGATTCGCAATTTTCATCACGTTTGATTTGAATTGATGGAATCGTATAAGCCTAAGTATCGCGATCGAATGGTGGTCATCGTGTTGTAAGTCAGTCCGAGTGAACATGAGTCCCCACCGAAGTCCTACACAAGAAACTGAATGTACGCCCAGCGTGGCAATGTGCATGTTCAGCTGGTGAAAGTAGATCCTCAGTTGGTGCAGATGCTCAGGGTTCCATATTCCATATGATAGCGTGGCCGTGACTCGAGGACAATATCTCGAGGACGCAGTTTGCAATTCTGCTTCTGCCAAGACTTTGGCCAATTCCTTCTCCATGATAAGATGGATAGCTTTTCTAAACTCTTGACTCTGAACTCCATGAGCTCTGATTTGGCACACACGTTGACTTCTAGTTGGTAATCTCAGCACGGGCGGTCTTGAGATTACTGGACACCTAGTCCAAAATTCACAAGAATAAGGTCTTCATGATGTCAGAGCGTCCACCTATAATTGAATTTTTAGTGGACGCCATGAAAGTGCGGGCAGTGGAGCTCCCCGTAACGACATTGTATGGCTGCAGAAACGGGAGAGCCAGAATATTCTGCGGAATCATCACGGTCATGCCCTGTCTGCAGTGGGCTGTAAGAATGTGTAACCGATTGATCTATTTGCTGCAGATGGCTAAAAGCGTCGCCACCTAGTCAAGAATAATTTAATTCTAGCCATGTATATGTGTATATATATATATATAACCTATGGTCTAGATCAGAGGTCTAGATCATATATTTCAAACCCCGTGCTACTTGGCGGGGAATGTTGCAATAATTCTCCTTCGCTCTGCACAATTGTGATGATTGACCTGCAGGACGCATAAAGGCATAAACCCCGCTGGGTAGGCCCCCATGCCCGTAATCAGAGCTCCAGTGCTCCAGACAATATGATTACACCACACCAACCATAGCCAACATCGAGGATGAGCGCGATCTTTGTATCATCTACATGCACAACCACCCCTTACTATCAGATATTCTTCAGCTCGAACTTCAGAATTGTATACAAAATAATTCCGTTGTTGCCTTCCTGAATTCTTAGTCCTAGAAAGTGCGCTTCATGTTGACAAAGCGCGATGCTCGTAATGTTCTCGACTTTCTTCCTTCCATCTTTGTCTTCATTCACGAGCACGCTCTGTAACAGAACGACTATTGGCTACTCAAATAAAACTTGCCGCAATTATCTGGTCATCATTCCATCATTCCTTTCGCTAGTACAATCTATCATTAGAGGTCAGAACTGCGAGATACAGTTATTTTTCTATGAGATTTTGAAATACGTGAAGGTACTTTAAGATAAAGGTTGCAAATTAATCGATTGAGGGAAATAATACATAATCATTTCGGAAGACAGAATCGAATCATGGTACTTTATAGAAGAAGAATCAACGCTCTTGCACTTCTCTCGCGTGCTAGAAAACCTTGTTCGCCAGGTTGCCGTCATGGCAGGCTTAGTGAAAAAAGGTGTCGAAATAGTGTATTTATTCAATTTACTTATGTCGTTTAACTGCTATTGACGCGATTGATGGAGAGAGGAGAATAAGTTAGGGCTGAGATAAGTTCTCTTTTATCGCATGGCTCTATTTTCCCGTGTATGGGTAGTGAATAACCAATTTATGTTTATTTTCCATTGGTCTTTGGAATGAATACATTTGGGGGTTTCAATATAGTTTCTCAAATTGGATGAATGGGTTGAGTTTTCTTTTTCAATTTTGTCTCAATTATTGTGCTTTTGTTGGATGGTCTTTGTTATTAAATTTCTTTTCTGATTCATCAATTTATATATTTTGGAATAATTTCAGGATATAAAAAATTGTTTTATCTCCTCTCTAATTTTTTTTAATGCATTTTATTCTCTTCTTTTAGTTTTAATCATCGTCAATATAAATTCCATTTTTTCATCTCAAATTCTATGCATTGTTTCTGTTTTATTTTTATTTAAAATCTTCAAATCTTTAATCAATCAGCTGAAAAACACTATTCTATAAATCTTGATCATAAATTATTTGAGACTAAGTAAACGATGATATTTTTCATTAAAATCTTTCTGGTTAGAATTTGAGTTTTTATAATTAGATCATTGTTATAGCTTAAATTATATTTTAATTTTCATCCCTACAACTTTATTCCTTATTATCATTTTTTTTGAAGTATTTTTCGCGAAATTATTTATATATATATCATTGTGATTTCCTCCCTCATTGGATCACAGTCTAGATTCTAGCACAATGCTGCTATGAAAGTAAAAATCTCAACTCTTACACATACAATATTGATTCATTTATAGTCATTTGGCAGTAAGGTATATTTGAAAACACTGAATTCGGCCTTTTATAGCTATAAACACCTCGTGTTTGTTTGTAAATGCTTGTGGTATCTGACTTGGTACATTTTTTATTTGCAAAAAATCTGCTATAGTTTTACACATAAATGTGTATCTTCAGAAATTTTTTTCTAAAATTTGTAAATGCAGCATTTTTTTAATTTAGTCATGGCCGATTGGAACAATTTTTGTTCAAGTAAAAAAAACCCTTTCGGCATTTTTTCTTTTTTGCATAACTATTTTAGATGCAACATGTCTTCATAACTCAATATCACGTGAAGAACAACCTTTAATAGATATAGCATAGCTATTCATGATGATATTAAACTTTCAGCTGTAAGAGATGACATATGAAAGAAACGTTTAATCTCCATCGAGAAAATATTGATTTGTCACAAAAAATGTTTAGGAGAAGTCTTGAATCGATTCGACTGTTCCATACTTTTTGGATATTGATTGTACACATGACATAAGTTTAACATAGTTATACAGTAAAAATGTTCTTCAATGGATGGAAAGTAAAACAAACACCTCCGAGGAAGTTGCAAATTTTGAATTGAAAAAATTTGTAACCTTTGTACGTTTTGAATCTTAAAATTATAGGAAGCCATTCACTTCTATACTCACATGTTTGTGCCAAATCGAAGAGCATACTTCTCAGGTGGAAGTATATCACCTTCTTATTAAAAAAAAACATCTTATCAACGAACAGGATTCATGTTTACATAATTTACTTCGTAACCAAGCACTTTGTTAGCCGTTAAGTTTCATCCATGTTAGTTTTGATCTGAATTATACATCCTTCTTGCTAGATAACCTCATTAATCTCACAGGATTCAACATTGAGCAATCTTTGTTGTTCAAGGTTATTGCCATTCTATTGTATAGGGCTATCTTAAATAGCCCTATACAATGGTTTCTTAACGTTTCATTAGAGTTGGCACGAAGTTAACAGCATATCACCAGTTGTAAAACAGATATTTCGGCAGTAAGAATCGATTATAACTCATGGGCTGCTCGGATTAATCTTCATGCTGCAGGCGCCTAAGCCCCGCACACAAAGTGGCAATATTCGCAAAACTCGAGGCGATCCCTTGGATTCAGCGATGGCAACAAGTGTCAACCAGCGACCTTTTCCACCTGCACTGATTCAGAAGCAGCGCATTGCCCTGGACCCACTAAATTGGCGAAATTGGAGAAGGAAGGCTGAAGTCGCTCGATCTGCCGCTGTGTGTGTCGTGTGCACCTCGGAGCGGCTCAAGGATTATTAAAAGCCTCTGACCGGCACCATCTGGGACCTGACTCGCAAGCACTGCAACGACATTGCTGCTCGGCCGTAGAGCTGAGACCGGCGACAAAGGCCTCAGAGGTCCAGGTGATGCCTGACAGAGCAATCACTGGGAGGTCCTGCATTTGCTCCTCAAAACACTGCCTGCTTCTGTCGACTGTCAGCTGAACCCACACCTCCATCACCGGGCGTTCTCGCATATATATACTCCAGTGCTGGACTCGAAAGCCAGTCCCAGCAGCAGCCGTTTTCTCGAACGCTTGCTCCCGAACGAATGACTGGATGCAACTGATTTGCAATCCGCATTCCAAATTCGTCGACGTTCAAATTCGCTTCGGAGGGCTCGATAAGAAGAAAACGCTTAGATTTGAAGGCACTCAAAAATGGCTGACAATTCGAAAGTATGGAGCCCTCGTCTAGGAATAGAAGTGAAGATGGCTTTGAACATTGCCTGCCCCATGATTGTGACGAACTTGATATCGTATTGCATTATCGCATCCTCTCTGATGTTTGTGGGCCATCTGGGAGAACTGGAGCTCTCTAGTGCAGCTCTTGGCAACTCATTATGCAGCGTCACTGGATTTACTGTGATGGTCAGTTTCCTGCGCACCCAGCCCCCGCAGAACACTCTTACGTTTCGATTATGACATTCTTCGAGCTGTAGCAGTTCACTTGAGCTTCGATTTCACACCACGCTGTCATTTATGGTTGCAGTTAGGACTGGCAAGTGGGCTAGAGACGCTATGCGGGCAAGCTTTCGGAGCGAAGCAGTTTCATCTGCTCGGAGTGTACTACCAAACGTCGATGTTTGTGCTTCTCTGCTGTTGTGTTCCGATCAGCCTCTTGTGGTGGAACATGGAGCCATTGCTCCTTCTGATAGGACAGGAAGCGCAGATTTCTAACCACACAACGGTGTACATGCGGACCATGATTCCATTTCTTTGGGCATCTGCCTTCATTCAGACCACCATAAAGTATCTGCAGACCCAAAGCGTTGTCATGCCCATCATGATCTTCTCTGTGTCTACCTTTGTGGTACACGTTCCCCTCACGTACTTGTTGATTTACAAACTGAACTTGGGATACCTCGGTGGAGCATTGGCTATCTCCATCTCCTATTGGATCATGCTCCTTCAGCTTCTAGTGTACGTCGTTTACTCGGAATCCACACGCGCAGAGAAAACTTGGACCGGCTTCGTACGACCGAGATTAGACGTCATCGTCCTGTTTCTTAAACTTGCTATTCCCTCGGCTTTCATGATTATGTGAGTGCTTACTAATCCCGAGCTCGTCATGCGATCCTCTGGAATGCCATCGGTGTATATACACTCAAACCTTGGTACTACATTACTTGATCAGATTTCAGTCGACAGTTCGCGTCAGAGTCTGGAAGATTTCCAAGGATTTCCTGGTGGACCTTGCTTTGAACTGCTCAATCTGTTTCTGATCCACGCGGTATTTGTGAAACAGCTTGCAATTTTGGGCGTTTGAGCTTCTTGTTTTGATGTCGGGGCTTATGCCGAATCCTAGGAGGGAAGTGTCCTTGCTCTCCATCTGGTGAGTTCCATCGAAATGAGCGAACATAAATTTGATTATTTCGCGATTACTTAATCTGAGAAATTAGGATCCGCAAAACATGAGTGGCAATTGACACTTCAAACTGCGCTCTTCTCCATGCAGTCTCAACACGGCCGGTATCGAGTTTTCATTTCCTTTCGGTCTCAGTGCTGCATCAAGGTAATACGTTCTTTCTTCTAAATTATGATTCAGGGAATTGTTATTGTAATAGAGAGGGATTTCCATGTAGTCGTCTCACTATCGGCCCCAACATTCTTGAATGGCGGCGAAGACTTTTGGATCGCAGTGTGTGCGAGCCAACGAATTTGATCGACTAGAATAGAGGAAATCGAGATGATGCTCATGCTTCTGCAAATGCATAATACACGAGATCTAAGTCTAATTGAGCAGATGAAGAAATTCCAGGTCCGAGCTCACAGTCAAGTTGCCGCAGAGAGATGAGGATCAGTTCTACAGACCTTCCATATATCCTAATCGTCGATTCGGTCATGCCCATTTTTTGTTTGATGATAATTACGAGTTGAAATGTGCATCTATTGTCCCTAAGTCATCGAGAGGGCTAAATGGGAAATTACAGCTGATCACTGCATGCGACAGACACGAATGACTGGGACAGTCATTTCTAAACTTTGTCGTGCCTCCGAGTTACTCGGCATGCCCAGCTTGTGGTCGAATGTGAATGGTAGTCTCTTTTCATGCAGGTAGACTCGTCTGTTTGCATGAACACGCAACCCCTACATCACTTGGAACACTACTAAGCTGACCAAAGTGGAAAAGTGGTGAGCTACGCAGTTGACCAAAGTGGTTCAAAGGTTAGCTACTAAGTTGACCAAAGTGGTTACATGGTGAGCTACGAGACCTGGTTTATTCGCACCACATGCCAGTTCAGAACTATATTAATAGGTGCTGAGCTTTTCTGCAGTACAAGGGTGTCCAACGAACTAGGAGCTGGCAATGCTAGGGGTGCAAAGCTGGCGTCCAAGGTGGTGATGGGAATATCTCTTTTACAAGCGACAGTGGTAGCCTCGGCTATGCTCATCCTACGAGACAAGTGGGGCTATGCATTCAGCAGCCAGACTGAAATTGTCAAGGCCGTATCAGTGATATTGCCTCTTTTGGCGCTCGGGACTTTCATGGATGGAATCCAAGGCGTTCTTGGAGGCAAGTACACGTATTATCAACCAACACACGTGAATGTCTGTCACTGGAAGCGGTCTAGAAGGTCATGCTCTAAATGCTGTTCTGCCTGCATGTCAGCGACACCCCTTTATGACCTACCTCGGCGTGAAGCCCCTAAATGTGAAGTCCCTGAATGTGTGGTTACGTCATTAACAACCTCTACTGCAGTCTTTGAGCTGCCACGATTCTTTGCTCAGTCCCACACGTATCTTACACCAACGTTTTACATCTTAAAGATTCTGTAGAGAATCAAACTTTTATAATTCCATGATGCGTGGTTATAGCCTACTTTTCATTTCTATCCGTTTGGTTTTCGAAACTTATCATTATTCCATCTTCCATTCCCTTCTATTTTATTTTCTCTTCTACTTTTTTGAGATACTTCGTTCAAATAATCACATGTTTATCATTTAGAATAATTGGGTCACTTAAGCTTAAAATTGATCGCAGTTTATATTCGATAGGTGACGGCAATATTTAAGAAGTAAATGTTGTTATAGATGGTCGTTATCGTCGTGCGTAGTCAGAACAGCTTACTTGCTGAAGTTAGCGAAGTCTTTCAGAACTGTGTCTTTGACTCCATGTGCCAGGAAACGTGGGTGTCTGGAAGCATTGGAACTCAATTCCCACTAATATATTGTCTGGACTGGACTGCAGGCATTCTGAGAGGATGTGGTTTGCAGAATCCTGCCACAGTAATCAATATTTTCGCATTCTACTGCGTGGGAATACCAACTGCTGTCTTATTCGGCTTTCATTATAACAAGGGCGCTATGGTAACGGGCCTATTTTTAATCCTATCTTTCTCTCGTCACCAATAATACCTCTGTTTCACAATGTCCTTTTGACTAGTTTTTCAAAGGGTTGTTGTAATTGGATGAAGTCTTTGACCGACATGATATTGGTGTCGAACGACCTTCATATGTCACAGATGTGACGTTTCGCTGGTATCTGTCGAAATGTGAATATTCCAAATCTCCCGTCGCTTGGAGATTGACAATCAAACTATACGAATTGTCTTGACCATGAGAATTGAGATGTACCGAAAATTAACAGTGTTTTTTATCCATGATCAGGGCTTATATGGTGGATGCATTTGTGGGAGCATAACTCAGCTGGTGTTGATAACAATTCTTGTGGCGATGATCGATTGGGAGAAACAGGTACACTCATATCACTCCTTACTCTCTTGCACTTCCAAGTTGCAACTCTAGAAAATATGTGGAATATGAACTCGATTACAACCGAAAAGTAGCACAAAATAGTTTTACTTGAAAAAAGGTTTCAAAACTGTGTTGGCAACATTCTGATAGTTTGTAATGCATTTAAGTGTAGCCAAATTATGTTCTCTTTGCGGCATTCTCTTGTGCCTGAAACTGCGTAATTACTCATTATGTCGTAATCATATATTCAAATCTAGCGCAGAAACAACTTAATATAAACAATATATGGCTTACTAATTTCATAGCTTTGAGCCGCAAACAATTTCCTGCTGTGAAGATTTTGGTTTTTTTTAGGTCAATCTCTCTGAAGTCTTTATTAACATATAAATTAATCAATGATGGTGAGTGTAGGTTACTCTCGCACAGAGCAGAGTTGGAGAAAAAACAAAGGTTCCAGCTGAGAAAACCCGCCAAGTAGAAGAGATCTACGAACCACTCCTTACAGCATAATCGTGGACATGTGAGTGAGATCCGATAAGGAATTTTCTTGCTGCTGAAAATATGGCACCAACTGTGCTTTACTCGAAACTGCAGTCTCAAGAGCGGAGGTTGAGAGGATCAGGATATCAGAAGACGGTGAAGAAGTACATGGTAGCTGATAAGCGACTCTAGGATTATCCGGTGTATCCAATTGTCAGTACAGTCGCGATAAATTTTAGTGGCCTCTACGTTTCAGCTCTACATTCTAGAAAGATAGATGCAACTCAAAACGCAATTGAAGTTCCATAAAGGTTGTCCTACTTGATCCACTGCCATTGATCTGAATTCTGTACAGAGATGATAATGAATTAGAGACGAGCCGACAGATCTCGTCAAGAGATTGACAGATAAAAGAATCGGGGCCATTTAGAAACTTCGGTACACATTAGCATGTTGATTATTCCACGATGAGGCAGTTACAGAGGTTGTCGCGACCGTATACATATGTACTAACGACGGTGAGAAGGGTCACCATTCCAGAATTCAATATTCAGCTTTTGAAAATTCGAGCACAAATTTTCGGAGTCTCAGTGCATTTGCAAATTTCACATTGTGCAGATTTCTAAAGATTAACAGTTTAGATAGTATGAACTGGTAGTTACTAGAATTCTTCGTTGATGTGATCTACCTGTAAGAGTGCAATTCCGTGGTACACATGATTCTCGGTACGCATAGTATGTTTTTTCGATTTCGCAATGAAGAATTTGACTCCGTACAGGACGTAGGCAATGGCGTTTACTTGCAATTAGAGATAATTTTACGGTTTCCTTCTGAGAGAGGGAAACCGTAAAAGAATAATGCTGTAAGCGATAGAAGCGCTAACTTCATCACCTTACGAATCGGGTGGGAAAGGGAGACGAGCAGTGTTCCCTCTGTTGGAACAGAGATTGTCTGGATTGACGAGAAAAATAATTCTATGATATAGTGAGTCAGGTAGTGAGTCGTCATTGAATTGTTTCTGAGACAGAGGCATGCTCTCCAGAAATCCGTAGGGGCAATCACATATACACAGTGATTGAGTACTCTCTTTCCGTATCTGAATTATTTTCCTCTTGAACTCAACTTCAATCATGGCAACTACAATGTAAATCTGGTACTCCATTAGCGCGAGTTGGTTGGTTTAAGTTTTACCCTCCTGGGAATTAGCCACCTCGATATAAAACTGATGGGAAGACCCCATCAAGCCTATGTTCAAGGTTAGAAGTAAAAACGTATGAAAACGCAAAGCAAGGTTGATAAGCTACGACGTCAGTCATAGAAATGATTGTCAATCCAACAATACTGTACAAATTTTTAGCGTCATCTTTTGTTTTTTCCATAAAGAGGCCGCAGGAGAAATCACTACAGATTCGATATTCGTGTAAATGTTATATTCATATGATATCCTGCGGACCTGATTGTCTACTAGGCACTGCGAGATCGAATGTACTACGACTGAAGTTGCGTAATAAGAAAGACCTGTGCTTCTTGAAGCTGTGCCTTTTTATTATCAATTTGCATAGACAGGAGATCATTTGAAATGTTCAGATGCCATGATGACAGAGGTATCCATTGCTGATCGGCCATATATCTGATTCACCTCACTGAACCACAACTCCACAACAAGGCAGTCACAAGCGCCTTTGTCGTTTGCAACACTCCTGCAGCGTGATAACGCATTGAGGAGAAGTGGAAGTGGAAAAACTGTGACTTGGAGGTGTCAGGAGATCCAGACTGCAAACTGAAAAGTCAGGGGTCAGAACGCCAACGTCGGCTCTCTTTGTCTGCAATTTCGAAAAGGGATAAAAGTATCACTTTGCTGACTTTGTTCCCACTCCTTGTCACAATCCGACTTAGTAGACCTGGAAATCAAACATAAACAATGTCGAACATCGAACACACTACCTCAGAGACCTTAGTAGACCTGGAAAGTAAACATAAACAATGTCCGACATCGAAGACATCGAACAGACGACCTCAGAAAGCTCAAGTTTTGATCGGTAGTGCGAAAAGAAAGACATCGAACACACTACCTCAGAGCATTAGTTGACCTGGAAAGTAAACAGAAACAGAGTCCAACATCGAAGAAATCGAACAGCCGGAGTTTTGACCCGTATTGCGAAAAATACTTCATGGCACATGCTTCGCCGACCGTGGGGATCGAACCCACGACCACGTGGTTAAAAGCCACGCGCTCTACCACTGAGCTAGGTCGGCTTGTTGAAAGACAACTGTAGGATTAAATTAATATTTGTAAGTCAAAAACTTCAAGGACAAGATTGCAACATTCAAGATGCTAAATTTCATATCTCAAATTTTTTTTCACAAATGTTCATTTCTCGATTTCAATCTCCACTACCTGATTGTGCTAACTTTGGGAACAGAACCAAGTTGGTATTCAAAGAAATACCAACTTGGTGAATATATTCTCCAGATCGTGTGTTTCTCTAAACTGATACTTCTTCATCCGCGCTAGTGATAAAAATTTATTGCAATTTTTTAATCTAATCACCCGCAAACTTTCGACACGATTACAATTTCGGAGAGCTGACAGTCCTCGAAATTTACTCTACCAACGTGCAAGTTCAAGGAAACCTTTATGATATTTAAATATCAAAATGTATATATTATACTATGAAATCATGTGACTTATCTCATTTGGCCACAAGAATGAGAAAAGTATTAGAATCCTGAATAAACATAACTTACTGCTTGGGATAAGGCAATGCAAGCTCCAATATTTTTTTGCACTGAATGTATGGCGGGTTTAGGGTAACTCAACCCATAATGATGAGGTGATGCATTTGGCATTGACATCAACAACTCAATGTACGTTTTGAATTATGTTCAGTTGGATTTGTAAAAAAATTTCTTTATCCTTATATTTAGAAAGGTTATTATAAGATATATGACCACTATTATCTCATATTTGCTTGGATCTAGAGATTCTAAATATCTTTTGATCAGATTGAGATATTGTGATAAAATTGTGATAAACTTCAGTGTTGAAATGTATTGAATCGCTATAGTTGCTAATTTTTTTGTGAGTTTTTAATTCGTCATTTTCTTTTTCACAGCAAATGAATAATACTAAGAAGAATTTTTCCAATTATGATCATCTTATGTGCAAATTTTCAAAAACAAACGTTCAAACGTTCATAGAAGTATTTGACTTTGAGTAATAATGAACAAAAAGTATAATGTTATGCAGTACACATGTATATGCTTAGTCAGATAATTTTAAGCGTAGAATTGCAAATCTCACATATAGTTTTCTTTTGTTACATACAAATTTTAACAAAGCACTCATTGATGTGCTTAAGAATTGATTTGATGCTTCAATTTGTACATTTAAAGTGCATATTTTTTTAAAAACTATAAAAACATACTCAAAATGATTAAGGTGAAATGAAACAAAATTTTGAAACATTAATGATAGTGTAAAAAACCAGAAGTCTAATATTTTATAATGTTATTATAATTTTTAAAATCAATCAAATTCAAAATTTATATATATACCCACGGCAAGCACGGGCTTGCTTGTATTTGCACTGTCACGGCCAAATTATTTCAAATATCAAAGACGGTACAATTGTCATTTACAAGTAGACTCATAAAAAAAGAAATTTCAATCTTAAAAATTGTGCAAACTAATCATATCAACTATTTATCAATAAAATGTCAATAGGAATATTTATACTTTACAATGATAATTTATTTTTAATAAAAATTGTCAAAAATATCTTGAATATTTGATTGTACATTTAAAATTTGACAATAATACATATGAACTTCTAATTAAAAAATTTGAATATCAAAAAAAATAATTTCATATCAAGATTACAATACTTATGAGGTTATGTGATAGTGAAATTACATAAATCTAGATTTTTGTGAAAATGTGAAAAAAATCACTGGATTCAATTGAATGGGAGATCTATTTAAAATTTTGTGACATATTATTATTAGCATAGATGCAGAACTGCATAAATGTCAGAATAAAATTGATTGAACTGAAAAGTTAGTTGTTCCACTATGCATTTGATTAGACTCAACTTAGTGGATTAATTTAAAATAATTGATTGAATAATTGTAAAAATGAGTTTGATTCAATATAAATTATATTAAAAACTGATTAATGTTTTGTGTGAATTTTTTTTAATTCATGTAAAACTATTGCTAGCATATCGAATGTTTCAATTGTGAGGAACTTTGTTGAAAGTACGTATGTTATGATTAAAACAAACATATGATAGAATAATTGACATAAATAATAGACATCAGATATGAAAAAAAAATTAGCTCATATATGCATTGTGATTCAAATCCATATGCATGATTAAATGCTCTAAGATATGAACATGACATATCTTGATGACATATTAAGGAGCATTTGTTCAACTTGAATTTTGAAACAAAATGTAACACCTAGATTTTGATAAAAAATAATTTATGTAAAAATAATTTTATTAGATAATGTAAAAGCTTGAACACATTTAAATACAAACTAATGCGCCGAAATCTACTTGCTTACAAAATCTAATTTCTGAACTTCTTTCTAAGAGAAAATTAAAAAAAAATCAAAGATGAATTGCAAAGTGATGTTCACATCATTAAATTAAAAACTTCGGAGGCAAAAATGAAATTCAAAAAATTCAAAAAATCCGTCATTTACATACATACAACTGATGCTACAAATCATCAAAAGCAATTAATTTATCATTCAAACTGAAGCTAGATGAGATTGAAGTGACTCAAATTTAGGCTAAAATCATAAGAATGATAAGTGAACCTCATTACGGTAATATTCAATGAGACTATTTTTCCAATAAAAAATCATTGATGCTCAACATTTAATAGAAGATCAAAATTCAAAAGTTTGGCAAGACAGGTCAAGTCTAGTAAAAAAATTTAACGCCGAGAAAAAAAAGAACAAAATTTTATTAAATTGGGAAAAAATAACTTTGCCAAAGATTATCAAACTAACTGCATGATCTGCAAATATGTTTAATTGCCATGAATAATTGTCAATACTCTTCACGTGCAAATTTTTGGGTTGCAAACTTGGTGATTGGTGATTGGTCATGTAAAAATCAAGTGATTGGATTTTTGCAAAATATTTATGCAATAAATTTTCATAGGCAAATGCTTGGATTACAACCTTGATGGATAGATGAAGTGAAAATTGAGTGATTAGATTATTCTATAAATATTATGCAAAGTTTATTAATATCAATAAAAACAACAAGAGTTTTAATAGGCCATGAGATTCGATTGTGAAGTAAATGTGCAGCATTACACTGAAAAAAAACTGATGGAAGATATTTATAAGATAGAAATATCCTTTCATGCATTTGAGATTTACAATCATTTTTTACAATGAAGAGAATATTTGAGTCTCTTCATTGTAAAAAAATTCTGATTTATATATATGATACTTCAATTAGATTATGAAGTAATTACAATTTTTTTGGAAACTTTTAATCAAATAAAAAAACCAAAGCTAAAGTATTTAAGCATTAAGTTATTCATGCATATTTTCAACTTTTATTCATTTCAAAGAAACAATGAGATACTAGTTCAGTAACAATTTAAAGTTGACTTGACAAATATCTAACATAAATTTGTTTTGTTTATAGCAAACTTGAGTTTGATTGCAGTAGAATTTTTTTTAAATATGTCGTTTCAAAATTTTTAAATAATTATTTTGTTTCTAAAAATAATAAATCTTATTGATATATACATTGTAGAAGATTTGAGTATATTCAAGTCTTGCAAAATAGGTTTCGCAATATAGGAAGATGTGTATTTCCATGGTCAAATATCATCTTAAATATACAAAGTTCTAAAATTTGGATTGAAATCATCATGTGTATGTGAAATAATAAACTATAAAAATTTAGATTCAACTGTTTATTCCTTTTTTGTGTATCTTATATCAAAATCATTTCAAGTATTTTGATTCATATGAGCAATCATATTTTTTGCAATTTATTTTTTATTCATCTTTCATTTATAAACCTTTTCAATATGAATTTTTTCTAGCACATTTAAATTCTACAAATCTTTTCAATTTTAGAAACTTATTGCGTAAATTTTTGAATTGTTTTCATAGATGTGGAAAAAAATCAAACCTTTAAAGATTCATTTGACATTCAAATTAACAAGAAAATTAAAATCATTAAAAAAAGCTTTAAGATTTGAAAATATTTTTTTTTTGAAATTTAAATTTTATATATAAAAAAATTTGAATAGATAAACTATTCTTATTAACGGTTGATTTTTTAGAGTTTTTTTATATTTTTTTGTGTTATTATTAATTTTATTTTTTTACAGATGTATAAAGGTACATTATATTTTAATAGACACAATTAATTAAAAAATTCTTAGAAATTGCATAAATTTTTGCAATTACATCTATACAGAAAAAAGAAATAGCCAAATCAAACTTCTTATGTAAATGAGTTTTAAAATGAAAGCGAATAAATTAAAAATTAAATTCTTATGATTGTCAGTTATTTAGATAATTTTTTTAAAATTTTTTTTGAAAATATTTTTTTTACATATATGAAATATATCAATTTTACATTTATAGGTATGATAAATTCTACTGAATTTTCTTCATGTGATTGCTCAAAGAAGATAAAAATACATAGAATCTATTCAAAATATTTTGAAAGCAAAATTTTTTTAAACATTTCGAAAAGTTATCAGAATTCATTTTGAAATTCAATTTGGTGTTATTGATAAAGTATGATAAAATTACTTTATGACAGCTAACACTTTGGATTGATTTTTAAAAAAATTTGTAAACACACATGGGATATTGGTTTCCTAGAATTTTTGCGCATAGTTTCATGTGAAAAAAGTTTATTGTTTAGAAAAAATGTCAAATCTGAATTACAAGCTTTATTTCTATAATTTATTTTATAAAAATTTGAAAAATTATTTTTGACATATATATAAGTATTTTTTTTAACTCATGTACGTAATATCAAACACTTGAAAATTTATTTTAAGCCAAATCCGAAATTTTCGAATATTTTTGCAAAAAAATTTGGATTTTTTAAAATTTCGAATCAGATCATTACATTCATGCATATGACAAGAAAAATATTATTTTCATACTATTAGACTCAGGTGAATATAAACGAGATTCAATCTATGACATAAATCATGATTAGAGTAAAAAAATTATTGAAAAAAATCAAAAAATAAATTTGATATTTGAACATGTAAAAAATAATGAAAACATAAAAAAATCCCAATAAATTTTATTAGATAAATTAAACTATTGGTGATATTTGAGTCTTGTTCATGTATTAGTGAAAATAGATATATATTTTTACATCATTTTTTATTGATTGCAGATTTTCAACGTATTGATAAATTTTACATTAAAATGCCTGATTTTATATAAAGATTAAAATATATAGATAGAAAATACAAAATCAATTGACATATGTTGCATTTTGCTTCATAATGTCATTTTTCATTCAAGACTGATTTCAAAAGATTTTTTTGACTAAACATTTAATAAAATTTAATCTTTTTTCATTTTCATGAAATGAATAGATCATGTTGTGACTCGTAGGAGCCAAATTTTGAGATTATATAAGAGCAGAAATTGTGTATCGTTCAAAATAGTATGCTATTAGATTTTTAGTTAAAATTTCAATCTTACAGCAATATTATTTTCACGAAAAATTCAATTAAATAATATCAAACTTGCAGTGTATATCTTCAATTAATATTTCGAATATTTTTTCTAATCAAAGTTGTTAACAATGAAACCTTATTGATAAATCTTTGTGTTTTAAATACAATGGATTGATATACTGATGTTTGAAATGAGTTACAAAGAGCCTGTCAAATATAATTAGGTTGATATATGTGAACTAAAGCATACATTTTTTATCTCAAAAAACCGAAAGTTTTTAATTGAATTTTTTTATGAATGATGAAAATTATTGACAAAAGATAAATTTGATTAAATCTTTCTTAATTTCATTGCCTACATAAATTTTTTATTGAATTGTTTAAGGATTATAGAATTAAATATATTGAAAAGTTTAATAATAGTATAATATTGTTGAAAAAAGTTTCATGCACAATGTACTTGATTTATTCATGTTGTAGCAAATTTTTTACTGATAAATGTGAAGATAAGAAGATCAAAATAAATTCAATAAAGAGTATATATTAAGAGTAAGATATGTTTGTTACTCAACTATTTTGAAAAAGACTGATGAAAGCATCTCTTATAAGGTCAAATGTTATGAATTATTACAAAACTCATACACTCTTCCAAAAAACTGAGAATCATTGAATGAATATCAAGATATTACATTGATAGTACACATAGAAATTCAATCAAACCCATAATCATTAGGATCCAACAGTGTTACAAGTGCACAAAGATTTCAATGAAATGTATTTGATCCTTGTGCTTGTTGATATAAAATGAGTGCCATATGTTAGACTTCGTCATATTGAATCTTTATGTGAATGAAGGTTATATTTCATCGTTATTTGAATAACGCTTAACTCTCCTAAATTTGCTTTACAAAAAACTTTTCTTACAACATAGGACTTTGAACATGATGATCCACGTAAAGCTATGACTGACCAGCATATCGATTGGAAGAAGCTTTGCTTTCCAGATATGTTTAGTATACTGCACAAAGGTGCACGTGCGACGAGTTTCATCCACTTGTTACCGTTGCAGTTTGCACACAAGGAGTACCAGATTTCTTCTCGAAGCATGCTGTGATTTATCCAGCCAATATTGATCATGCTGTGATTATATTGAATAGAGGGGACTCAGTCCTATAAGTCGAACGTTCAGTGCACGTAAGTTGACTGACATGAGCATGAGCCTGAGCCGGCGGCTAGTAGTAGTCACTTCGAGACAAGTCGTCGAGCAAGTTCTTTAGTGATCGCAGCATGACGACATGGCAGATTTCGAAGATTTTTACTCCACTAACGCCAGCAGAAGTTTCTCTCGGATCGGACTCCCGCACGTGACGTGAAATTCATGCATCGTGTGACTTTCCTTTTCAGACTAATTTCCTTTTCAGACTAATTTCGGCGTAGCCGGGGATGTTTGACCAATTCGTCTGCCGAGGCCAAAAGACAGTTTACTCTTGCCGATGGCCTCTCATAAGATGGAGAAGTTCGAGTCGCGCCAATCCAAGGGATAAGGGATCACAGGCCCTTACAACAACAGCACCGAAACATTCCAAACAAACTTTCTGGACCAAGGTCTTCGTTTGACTGGTTGGAGTCAACTGCAACATCACATTCAAGCTTTCTGGGCCAAAGTCTTCGTTTGACTGCTTGGAGTCACGATTGATTGTGTTCTAGAACGCGCAGATGTTCAGGACCGTGTGCACTTACACACACAGGTCCAGCAGTCTGGTTTTCAGATATTTTATAACTCTAGATTATCCAGTTCCTGCGTTCGGAGCGTTACTCTAATCTTTGACCTTCGGAAGAATAAGGAAATTTGATTCCATCAGAAATCTATGTTCCGAATGTCGAATCCTTGCTAGAGGGCTTAGGACAGCAGTTAGCTGGCTTTGAATGGCGAATGAGCTTGGGAATCATACCGGAAAACGGCGGCAGTAACTCTAACTGTCCTTCACCAGATGAATGGAATTTCTTTTTCAGAAATTTTAGCTATTTTAAGTAGGATTTAAGGAAATCTAGTTGCTATTCCTCAAACAAGTCTGAAACGAATGCTTGCTTATTCTTCGATAAGTCAAATAGGATATATTCTTATTGGATTCATTACAAGTGACCTAAAGATAGCCAAATTCCTTGTCGCATAAGCAGCGACCTGCACGAATGGTGTAAAGACTGCCCCGCTGTCTCCAACCAAAGTAAAAGCTCAAGGAAACTCAACTGGATATTGGGCAAGAGGTATGAGGTGCACCCTGTGGTTGACAATGTCGTCTGAGTCTTTCGGCGAGCAGATTCTGGTCTGTCAAGCTGACGGTCATTTACGACGACGACTTTCAAGATAGCCCCAATCTTGCATGAACTGATTCATATAAATAGCAAATTTCGGAAGCTCAATTCTACAGTTGCTCGCTCTGATCTTAGAGTGCAAGTAGTGGAGATAGCAGTCTGTCTGCAATCGCGGACTGTTATTTTTACTAGACACTCAGAGGTTGCCATTGCTCTCTGAGACTCGCAATATCTTCCAGCTTCTCTTTAAGATCAGGGACGAGTATGAAGGGACGAAGATTAGCACTGTCGGGGTCGTTGCACAGATAAGCCGACAGCTTGAAGTTGAGCCTGTTCAAAAGAGTTACTCTGGAAAGAGTCAACCTTTTAGGCGAACAGCCAACTTACATTCTTAATTTTAGACGACCAAAATCAGATTGAGGTTGGTGATTCCCGCGGCTGAAGCAGTATCAGCAGCTGTGTACTATGGCTATCAGGAGTCCAATGGTGCTCGTGGGGCTTTTCTTGCTCTGCTGCATGCTATCAAATGTTCAGTCAGCTCCTATCAAGATCACGAGGGAAACAATCAAGGAGTGTAGGCGTGGTCAGTGGGCTGGCATTCCAGCTGACTGCTGCCCTCCGAAGATCATCGATGGACCCATCATCGACTTCACTCCTCCGAAGCTTGATCCCTCCAAACCTCTGAGAGTCAGGAAGGCCCTGCAGTGCCTAAGTGGCAAGGAGCTGAGGACGTACACCAAGAAGCTGCAGAAGGGGTACAGATTGATGCGCGCTCTTCCAGACACCGATCCCCGTTCTTACGCGAGGCAATACGGGATTCACTGCGCTTACGCAACAGGCTCATTCATCCAAGATGGCTCCAACAATTTGACCATCGACATACACATCGGCTGGTACTTCCACCCGTGGCACCGAGCTTATGTTTATTTCCACGAGAAGATTCTGCAAACGCTACTCAACGATACAGAGTTCTCTCTTCACTACTGGAATTACGACAACACTAACTCTCTCGGCAAACACGAAGCCCGCAAACACCGCCATGATGGTGGCTGCTACAAGTCTGGGCTGTACTTCCCCCCCATGTACAACGACCCGACTAAGGCTACATTCCAGTGGAATCGCTCAGAGAGGGCATTCGAACCCAAAAGACCGGTGGACCTCGCATTCGATGGAACTCATTACAATATTACTCTAGGCCCCCCACCGTTTCCGAACAACCTGACTTTGGCTCAAATCATCTGGAGGAACAACGAGCTCATGCACAGAACTTTCCTCACGTGGGGAAATTCTACTATCGCCTTCATGGGGAAGGAGTACAGAGAGGGAGATCCGCAGGCTCTTGGCATCGCTAATGGAGCTGGTATGCAAGAGAAGTATTCACACACCAGCATGCACTGCTACATCGGCGGAAAGATGTTCGAGCCTAAGAGCGCCCCAGAGGATCCTATATTTTTCCCCTTCCATGCCAACCTCGAGAGGCTTTGGGATATCTGGCTATCTCTCGGTGACGATCACAGGAATCCGACGAGCTCGGATTGGCTCGATGGAGAGTTTCTTCTGTGGGATGAGAATGCGGTTATGAACAGATTCAGAGTGAGGGACTTCCTCAGCGCAGAAGCTCTTGGGTACACATACCAGAAGGCAAACGTCGACAGCTGGGTTAATTTTGACACCAGTTCACCCTACCCGGAGTATTAGACTCTGTTAGATGGTCGCATATTGTGGATCATATTTTCAGCTTGTATGTCCTGTAACTAGGTATTGCAGCAATTTTTATTCATTAGGGAAATCCTGCAAGACGTTTAGAGATTTTGAGCTGGGGGACACGTGTGCACCTAATCAAACCCAGTCACAAAATCTCCGTAATTGTTGTCGGTGGGATATTGCCAGGGAGATAGTAATTTGAGTAAGGAATTTCCGATTACAAGGGCGGATAGGGAATCGAAGCACCTGCGTTTCTGCCCTTCGGGCTTCAATGATTTCCACTCATAGAGATCCGAGTTTTTTTCTTTTGATTCATTTACCAACTCAGCTTTGGAGCTGATGCGGGCGATTCATGTCGCGGTCGTGACCGATCGATTCTAACTTGTGAAAGTAAGAGCGATCTGATTCAGATAGTAGCAGTTTTTGTTTCAATAAACCGAGTCCAGTTTTCGAAATGGTCACAAATTCACACTCTGTTTCCCACATTTACACAATCCCTTTCCACAAACACACTCACGTGTATAAGTAAGACCATTGAGATTTTCAATGCTACTTTGACGTCGTATAGGATCTGCATACTTTGACGCCAAAACAGGTTCAGAGTGTAATTGTTCCACATCTCAGGATCTCCCACATTGTTTTCTCGTTACATGTTAGCAACAAGTTGCTTGATGGACAAGAAGTCTGTCAAAAGTTATATTTGAGGAGGAGCTCAGTTTGTCTTCACATTGTATATTCCAATGGCAACACATGATTGGGCAGTACACTTCGAACAGCAAGTCTTTCACTGCTGCAAACTTGCATGCCAAACCGACGTTTAATACACAGACTCCAGATACATGTCAGCTAGACATCCCACAGCTTCCGGATTCACTCTCCCATTATTATGTTTTGGCCAACATAAATCGCGCAAATGGTAGTGAAGCTATACTTCTACGATGAATAGTAAAGTGAATAGAAGCAGATGCAGATCAACTGATTGAGAAGGAGGAATGTCTGCTACAAACACACGAAGCGCAGGAGTAATATACTCTGGCTCTGCTGGCTAGAAACAAAGTCATCGCCAATTAAATTAAGAACAACATGCAGCCTCGGCTTGTCTTCTTCGTACTTTATTCTTTTCTAGACCTGTGTCAAGGCCCACACTAACTGCTCGTCCGTCCTGATAATTCTTTGTTGGTTTCTTCATGCTGGACAACGGTGGACATACTGGAAGTCACAAACACCTCTTCGAGAACTTTAATAACGTCCTGCATTATTTCATCCACCCGCTTGATCATCCAGTGTAATAACCCACCAAAGGCTAAAACTGCAGTATGGTGGTAAAAAGATCGAACCCACAGGGACAGAGGCAACACACAGAGTAAAAGTGTCACATTTAACAGACTTTTGGTAGAGTTTGAATTCTAGGCGACTGTCACTCCCAGAAATACTGCAGTGCTCGACTCGGAGGCTCGACTCGGAGGAGGATCTCAACTCGGAGGATGCTCGGAGGATGCACGGTACAGCTTGGTCACTCAACACACACACACACACACACCTGAAACTGGCAAAAAGCACAACTCGGAGGTCGGTCAGGACCTCCGCTTCGGATTTCAGGAGGAAAGTGTCTCGCAAGTTCACTCAGAGGTTCTGCAGGAAGTGCCTCCCACTCCGGCTTTTACTGCCCTTCCGCCAGGAACTAGCGGGGGTACCCGGACTGGACTTCTCACTTCGGAACGAAGCCTCTACGTACGCCGTGGACGTCACCCTCGACTATCACACAAAACGCAGGGAGTGCAGACCCGACTGAGAACTTACTGAAAACACGATCCAGTAACACACACACAACCTGAATTACAAACCAAGGTTTACACGAAGTAATGAAACTTCACATTGGCATTCAGGGGAAACTTCCCGTAGGAGTACAATCAGGATATGTCACTCGAAGGAGTAAGGGGGAACTGTTCAAGTCTCTAACTCGCAGCCGGCTCTGAGCATCAGAAATCACCCGCAGGTGCAGATCCGCACTACTCAAGTCTCTAACCGGGTGCGAGCTCTGAACATTCAGCCGAAGGCCTTCAACTACAACATACGGTAACTTCGCTATGCTGCAGCTTCTCTACGTGGTGCCAGGACCAAAATGCACAAACACGCCAAGAAAGTGAGTTCCTGATCTGCACTTCCGAAACTGGAAGAGTCCCAAGGCAAAACGCCTTGATCTACTTTATACCCTCAAAAGATCCTAACTAGCACTACGCTATCCTATCTACCACTCGCAGCATCTGCGCGAAACCAAACTACTCTACTGCACTCAGCAGATCCGGTGCTGCGCCTCCTGCGCGCCGGACTGCTCCGCGTACTATCTCTACCCTGCCAGTCTTCCGACCGGCTGCGTAACCCCAGGCGTCGGAGCGCTGCAGTGACTTCCGACTGCAAGTGCGCCATAGTGTCGCGCGCACCCGACAGAAAAGTTTCTAATTTCCTTGCCACTCGCCGCCGACTCCGACTGTCACCTTCCGTCAATGCCGCCGCCCGAAGCTCGAACTCCCGGAGTGTAACCCTCTCTTGAGCTGCCACCTCCCAATGGGTGTATCCGTTTAGACAACGAGTCACCCGTGCCGCCAACTCTTCTCGTGCCCTGCAGCTGCTCTCCACCTCTGCCAGCTGCATTTCTAAATCCGCACGTTGTGCCCTCAAATCCGAGCACTCGGTTTGCAAGCTGCACAACAACTCCTCATCCTCCTTGCGGGCTCGTTGACTTTCCTCTAAGGCGCGCGTCTGGCGCGCAAGCTCGGCTGCTAGGACTTCGTTCTGTCTCCGCTCCTCCTGCAGTTCCGACTCGATCCTTGCCCGTATTAGTTCGGCCTCCGCCTGACTCTTCGTCGCCGCATCCTCCTTCTGCTGCTGCAAGGCTTGGTACAGCTTCTGGGTGACCGCCAGGTGTTGTCGGAGGGCGGTGTTCCTATCCACATATACTCCGCATCTAGAGGCCCACCTTGCCACCTTGCTCCTCGTCCTTCGCCTGATTGTCTCCACATAAGACTGCGGTTTTAAGGCACTTCCGTATTTGGATGTCTTGCGATCCAGATATCGCAGGAGTGGAACTATCTGTTCGCACAGCACCCCTGTTGGCGTTTTCTGCACTGACTCCTCTTCTTGCTCTTCCGAGCTCGTATCATCCTCAGTCGCGAGGATTTCAGTCGCCACCGAATCCCTTGGCGACTCCCTGGAACTGTGGCGCGCAGCAGCTTCTGCTGCGACTGCTGCTCCACTGCCTGCTAAAATATCCAGGGCAGTGGGAGATCCCACTGCTTGAGCCCCTGTTCCGGCTCGATCTTCGGTTTGTGAAGGGGTCGACGCCGCAGTGACTTTTGTCGCTCTTGCACCGCCCGCTTCTGCTGCCTGTCCTTCCGGCACAATCTGCGCGGAAGGTGTCCTTGCTGAAGGTGCGTCCGCCGAAGGCGTCCGCACACTGGTCGTTGGCCCCATCCGTCTTGCAGTCGGCGAATCCGGCTGACTCTCTGTTGTCCGACTCGCAGTCGGCCGACCATTAGTTGTCCGACTGGGAGTCGGATACACCCTGCGCGTCTTGACTCCACTTGGCCTACTTGTTGGTGGCGTTCTTCCAGAAGTGCCTTCCGCCGAAGACGACCCTCTGAGGATTGTTGGCTCGTCAGCCAAACTCTCTCCCGCTTCCGGCCTGCTGTCCGGTTCAACGCGCCGTTCAGTTGGCCTTCCTTCCGTCTGTCGACTTTCAGTCATCCGACTCGCAGTCGGCCGGTCGTCAGTCCGTCCATCTCCTCCCGAAGGCCGTGGTGCCTTCTGTGCAGAGGTTTCTGCCGTCTTCCCTAGAACCTGAGTGATTATCTCTTCCTGTGTGAGATTCCGCCGGGTCGGAGTTCGCCTGGTCTCCTCAGTAACAGTTGGCATTCTGCGTGCCCTCTGTTTTGGTCGACTATGAGGCTCGGGGGTGGGCCGACCACGAGTCGGCGCAGCTGGTACTTCCGGCTGCCTGTCCTCAGGTCTCTCATCCCACTTCCGCTTGCGCGGAATGCGCTCACTTCGACGTTCTTCTGCTGCTCTGGCTGGAGCCGGAGCCGGAGGCGTACTGGCAGGTTCCTCGTCCGGATCCGTGTCTACTTCGGCCTCCCTCGAATATCTACCTGGATAAGACCGGCTCAGCTGCGGAAACCGAGTTTTCTCAGCATTCGTCAAACATCCCATCGCCCGGTAAAACACGATTAAGTAAGGCGATAGATGATTGAGCGTTCCTCCCCTCTCTTCTTGCGCATGTTGGCGCGTCACCTTCCACAGAAGTCGTGCCCAATGCACCGGAGCTCCTGACAACACTAGCTCCACGAACTCTACCTGCCAACCATGCATGTAAGCGGTCTTGGTCGGCTGCAATATCTGCAGCAATGCTGTCGCGACATTTCTCCGCAATCGATCCTTGTAATCCCGAGTCCGGAAACCGTTCTTGGGATGTCTAGCCACCTTGAAGAGCTCATTGTAAGAGACTTCTTCCTCTTGGGACACTTTCACGCTGTCGGCCTCGAAGAGGAGATCCCCTTCCTCGCCGGCACACCTGCCCAACACCTGCGCCCAATTGCCAATTTCCCATCTCTCTGGGTGTGGGCGAAATCCGCGAGAAGGCTTGTGTCTCTCTTGCAGATACTCGCGCACCATCTCCGGACACGTCCAATTCCACCCCCATAGGAGAAAATCGAGCTTCAACCTCAACAGCACATCTTGAAATGCGCGTAGACCGATCTGCGGCACCCTGAGTGGAGACACTCGCAGCTGGGGAACCTTCGACATTGCGTTGCCTGCACACACACAAACGTTCTCCCTTTCGCTCGCTCTCTCACAATCGCCACTGCGCGTCGGCCACTCAAGCACTGACTGCTCACTCTCTCTGCGCTCGTTCAAGATCGCTACTCCAATTCTTTCAAGGTCCGCCAAGATCCTTGCGCAACTCGTCTCCGCACTCTCTACTCTCACTGCAGGTCGCTCCGCCCTTGCGCGTAATCTTGGAACTGGAAATCGCAAAGTCAAGAATGAGAGAATGAGACTGGAGCGCAGTCTTTTCTTCTCCGATTTCAAGAACGTCCAACGTTCTTACTGGTTGCAACGTACGCAGCCGGCTATACGGCTTAACGGTTCGCCCTTTGCATGCGCGAATTCACGTCTCCGCCTTGCGCGCATTCGCATGCTTAAACGTTGAATTCTCCCGCCGCCGCCACCTTCCGGACTCGAGTCCGCTGTAGGGTATACGTCGGCCCTGTTGTCTTTTCCTAACCCGCCCTTCTCCGGAGGCGTGTTGCCGCTGGTGCGTTCATTATCCGTCGGCGCCTTGCTGGAGGCGCACATCCAGCCGGAGCGAATTACGCCGGCGCGCAGTCGTACCGCCTA